ATACCTTTCCCTAGAGTGCCTTTCAAGTAGCATAAAACTCTTTCTGCAACTGCTAAATGTATCTCTGAGAGAATGCATAAACTGACTAATAGCACTTACTGCATAGGAAATATCTGGCCGAGTCGTGCAGAGATGTAACAACTTCCCGAGCAGTCTCTGGAACACTCCCCTATCAGTCAACAGTTCACCATCAGTAGCAGTAAGCTTATGGTTTAGATCTATAGGGGTGGAAGCCGGTTTAGCACCAAGTTTACCAGTCTCTGCAAGGAGATCAAGAACATACTTACGTTGAGAAATGAAGATACCATCCTTAGATCTAGCAACTTCAATTTCCAAGAAGTATCTAAGATCCCCCAAATCTTTTATCTCAAATTCAGTGTTAAGAAATCTTTTGAGCTTAATCACTTCTTGAGTGTCATTACCTATAACCACAATGTCATCAACATAAACAATCAGAAAAGTCACCAAAAAGTTACTTTTCTTCACAAACAAAGTATGGTCAAATTGAGTCTGTGTATAACCAAAAGAAACAAGGACAGCTCTGAATCTCTCAAACCAGGCTCTAGGGGATTGTTTGAGACCATAAAGAGACTTCTTCAATTTGCACACCTTCCCTTACATTTCCTTTCCATACACCCCCAAAGGTAAAGACATACAGACCTCTTCATGTAAGTCTCCATTCAAGAAGGCATTTTTAACATCAAACTGGTGAAAGGGTAAATCAAAAGTAGCAGCTAGAGACAACAAAACTCGAACGGAAGTCATTTTAGCCACAGAAGAAAAAGTCTCAAAGTAATCAATACCATACATCTGAGTGTAATCATTAGCAACCAATCGAGCCTTAAACCTCTCAATAGTGCCATCAAAATGATATTTGATTGTGAATACCCATTTACAACTCACTAGTTCCTTCCCTTCAAGAAAGTCCACAATATCCTAGATATGGTTCTCATGCAAAGCATCTAGCTCAATCATCATAGCATTCCTCCATTCAGGTTTAGACAAGGTTTCTGGTACAGACCTGGGAATCACATGGGTAAAAATAGAGGCAAGAATAATAGGTAGGGGATAGAAGGCTATAGGATAAATGTTTAGAAATACAATGTGTTGTACACTTCCGCTTGCCTTTGCAAAGGGCAATAGGAAGGTCAAGATCTGAGAAGGTAGCAGGTGGGTCAAAGGCAGGCTGACTTGGTACCTCAGTAGTGATGGGAGGTGCAAGAGGCTCTGATGAAGGAGTGGAAACAACTTGCCCATGCTTGAATCTTTGTCTTTGATACCACCTTTGGAGAATAGGTAGTAAGGAAAATATGGGATGATGAGCTGGGAGAGAAGGGGGAGCAAGAACATGTGAGGTAGACACAATGGAAGGAGAGGCAACAGAAGAGGATGACTCAACAGAATACTCCCCTTAGGAGGAACAGCTGGAGACATAGCACATGGTTCCTCAGAATACTCCCCTTAGGAGGAATACCAAAGAAAGGAATAGACTTAGCAAAAGTGACATCCCTAGAGACAAAGCGGGTGCCACGAACCGAATCAAAACAACAATATCCCTTCTATGTGGAAGCATATCCTAGAAAAATGCATTTATGTGCCTTAGGCTCAAATTTGTGTCTCTGATAATTATGAACACGTACATAGAAGGTGCACCCAAAAACTCAGAGAGGAAGAGAAAAGAGATCCTCATCCGGAAAGAGAAGGCTAAATGGGGTCTTGAAACCCAGAACCCAGGAAGGCATATGGTTAATCAAAAAAGTGGCAGTAAGGACAGCATCCCCCCAAAATTTAATAGGAACATGAAATGCAAAAAGGAGGCATCTAGCAATCTCAACCACATGGTGGTTCTTCCTTTCCACTACTCCATTCTGTTGTAGAGTGTAGGAACAAGAACTCTGATGAATAACCCCAAAGGTCTCAAAGTAGGATGAGAGGTTCTTCTCAAAATACTCCTTAGCATTATCAGACCAGAATATTTTGATACAGGTGTTAAACTGGGTAAAGATAAGTTCATGAAATTTTTGCACAATAGTTGGTACACCATCCCAGGATCTCATGAGATAAATCCAAGTATAGCACAAATAATCATCAACACAAAGGATAAAATGCTTGTAACCCCCCATAGTAGGCAAATGATATGGCCCCCACACATCAGAATGCACAATATGAAAAGAAGTAGATCTTTTATTGCTCATTGAATAAGAATGTCTACAATGCTTTGCAAGTTCACAAGACTCACAATGAAGACTTGATAAAGACACTCCCTTAAACGTATGGGGAAACAAATGACTCAAGGCAGGAAAAGGTAAATGACATGACATGACTCTATCAATAGACTCTGACATAACAGACTCCAAAGCAACTCCATTAGGTGGTCCAAGACTCCTATCAGGCGTGTCCAACAAGTATATTCCATTCACCTCATGGCCACTCCCAATCGTCCCCTAGGATTTTAGGTCCTAAAAAACACAATGGGTAGAAAAAAGAGGTTATGCTATAGTTCATGGATTTAGTCAAGCTACTAACAGATAAAAGGTTGGTATTGAGCTTAGGAACATGAAGAATAGAGGATAAAACAAGTGTGCCAGAAATGGGAGCAAGAGACCCATCAGCAAGGGATATCTTCTCTCTACCAGAGAGGAGCTGATATGAACAAAAGAGGTTAGATACTTAGATAAACTGGTTATATGGTCTAATGCACCAGAGTCAATAACTCAAGGGATTTTATGATTACCTGAAATCATAGCATGATTTGCAGAACCACAAGTACCTGAGTGAGAAAATGCGGATGATGAGGTGTTGCCTGAAGGGTTGGATGCTGAAACAGTGGTCTCCAAGTGATTAAGTAACCTCCCATAATTTTCAAACTCTACCTTTACTGCTGTCAGTTGCTCCATAGCTGATCTTTCTTCGCTTTCCTTGTTTCCGCCCTCGGGCATTGTGGCAACATTAGCATTCTTAGGCTTCCCAGTCTGACCATTCTTCTTAAAGTTGTTGTTATTGTTGTTGTTCCGAAACTTGTCCAGAAGAAGATCTGGATGAAGTTTCCAACAAGTGTCCTTAGTATGCTTCAGCTTCTTGCAATATTCACATATTACTTCCTTCTTCTCAATCAGCCCCTTCAACTTTATTCCAGCATGTGCAAAGTGTTTTGTAGGTGGTCCCTGTAATTGTACTTGCCACCTACTCTCTTCACTACTTACCATGGCATATGCTTGGGCAAGAGTGACCGCATCTTTGGCCAAGATGTTCTGCCTAGTAATGTCGAACTCAGGGTTGAGTCCTATGAGAAACTCAAACACCCTGTTTTGTTCCACCAATTTTCTAAATATCTCTACATTTTTAGTACTCTCCCATACAATTGTCTCCATAACATCAATTTCCTGCCATAGTGACTTCAACATGGAGTAATAAACTGCTACACTCTTCTCCCCCTGTCTCAGATTGTTCACATCACTCTTCTGTAGAGACTGTGAGAAGATCTAGCCGCAGGGCTATTTTTATACTTTTACTTATTTTGTTGTACATCTATTTTATGTACTCTTTCTTTTGTACACTAAGGGCATATTTGTCCTCTTACTTTCTTTAATATAAACATCTCTTTTAGGATGTCGACAGACACCAAGTGACACACCTACCAATTTGTCATGTTCTCTTCTCTCTCTATCTTTTCGATCTGACTCTAACATCTTCAACTTATAGGCTCTTGCAACATTTAACTTCTGTGAATATGTTTTTGTAAAATTGTCCCAAATCTCCTTGGCTAAGGTCATCTAGAGGCAACACTGACTTATATGGGGCGGCATAGAGTTGACCAACCACCCAATCACTGTGTAATTCTCCTGCATCCATTTCTCATATGCAGGTTTCACCTTACTACCTATGAGATACCCTAGTTTACCTCTACTGCAAACATAAATCCGTATAGACTGTGCCCAGGCTAGATAATTGGTTCCATCTAGTTTAATTGTGGTTACACCAATCAAAAAGGAATCTATTGGACCAACCCCGGATACTGGCATCTACTTCATTTCACTTCCAGATTACTCCATTGATCAAACGAAAATCAAAAAAACTAGTTTTCAATCTTTATAGACCTAACTGAGGTCAGTACAGTACCTAGAGATTCAAAAACTAGGTTTCACTACACCCAACTATCGAGGAGGAAGAGAAAAGTAGTCGCTCCTACCAGAACTTCCCAACCCTCTTCAAATCTCAACCGCACACTTCTAGGGATCAAACTACACCTCCCAAGCACTGAGCGCCACACCCAATCCTTCTCCTTAACTTGTAACTTGAAATCTCTCTAGTCTACTAGGGTTTTGGGCAGAAAAATTACAGCTCCAATTCCTGGCAATTTTTGGCCAGATTCTAACTCTCCAAACCCTCTACCAACTAGGCAAATAGTCCTCTGATTGATCAGCAACTTATCTCTCCATACACTCTTTTAATTGAAGGGTGTATGGGAAAATAAGAGAAAAAGAAAAGAGGAGGAAGAACTACTTTGATACCAAGATGTGAATATGTCCTTCGAGACTGATATAAAACTGATAAAAAATAAGAAAAGTGAGAGAGAAAAGAAGGTTACAACAGAATATAAGAAGAAGATGGAGAAGAAGATGAGAAAGGAGAAGAGAGTTCGATAGGTTTCTCTCTCCCTTCACTAATCTTTTATTGATCTTAATAAGTTATGGTAATTACAAGTCTGCCCTTTAAGTGGGCGGCCAGCAAAGCAAGAATTTAAAAGAAATTAAAAAGAGATCAACAGGCCCATTAACTCATAAAACAGATAGAACACTACTTAAACATAAAACAAATATTAGGGCCCATTCGGCCTAGTCTCTCTACAAAAAGATATCAGAACTCTAATACACGAAAAGATGGAAAACTAACCAAGTATCACAATACATTTTAATACAAAAATAGGAATATCTAATCATGCTGAAAACAAATCCACATTATCAAAAAAAAACAACCAAGAGAGAGAGAGACAATGTTACCTTGAGGAAAGCCTATGGATTGGGTCCGAAGAGCTCTTTGATTTGTGGGCACTTAGAGAGAATCCAACGCCTTCTCGAAGCGTGCGGTTCGTCTGTGTATGACCAGAAGAAGTCTGTGGCCATTACTCCTTCATCTCTCTGTTCCCTACCCATCTCTCTCTTCCTCTGCAAACCGTCCTCTTCCTATCTTCTTCTTCGGCAAGATTGTAATCCTTCCGAAATAACTGAAAAGTTAGTGGTTAAAGAAGGAAAATAGACAAGTTGTAGGGAAAGATTAAAGAATGCTGAAAGGCGAAAGCCTTCTTTTTTAATTATATCCAACCATGCTGCACTTTATGGCTGTATTGAGAGCTGTTTAACCAATAATAACGCCCCACGTCATCCATGCTCCACAATCAATCCAACATATGGCTGACGTGGGAAGTTATTATTGGTTGCGATCCCTAACACAGCCATCAGAGTGCAGCTAAATATCACGAATTCTTAGCCCAATGCAAGGAGAACATTAGCTGGGCTCTTTTGGATAGGGATATACAGCCTGGCCCACATGCAAAATCACGTGTCCAGTGTCCCTGTTGAAATAGTGAAGGAGGTGGTAGCATTAGACCCATCGCTCTTCATAATTCACACTTCACACTTCACAAAATTCGTAGGCCCAAAAATATCTTCCCAGCTCTCTCATCATTCATCTCATATTCTAAGCCATTCGTTTGTTCATTTAGGAAAATTCCTTGTATTTTTAACCTAAGTATACCGAAAAGATACAGTACCGAAAGAGCTTTAACCAATCAAAGCATGCCGTGAATTTTAATGAATAGCACCTGACTGGTCATTATTTTATGATACTGGTTGATGCAGTAAGTTTTTTCAATATCATGTCTTCCCGGTATCATAGTCGGATATAGCAAAAAAGTTCAAATTTTACAGATATATATATATATATAGAGAGAGAGAGAGAGAAATGAATCATCGAAAGCCTCGGAATGGTTGTTGTCATGTTAACAAACCAGGAATGGTTGATTAGGATATGGGTTGTCCCCCCCTCCCGTTACAAGTGTAAATATGGTGCAACTGATGTACACGTGAATTTGTAATGTTGCCAACCAACAATATTAAGAAATCTCATCCAGAATCTATGCCAATTATCTGAAAGACTGAAACCTGAAAAGTTAAACTGGAAGTACACCATTCAATCTTTCAAGTTACAAAGAAAGCTAGTGTCCCATATAAGTGCCCCCCAAGCTAGAATAATAACCAAACCACATTTTGAATTCAAAAAAGATAGAAACATGTTCAGAAGTAAACTTCATACAGTACCATAAGTGGACAATGACTTTATGTGACCAAAAAGATAGCCACTTTAACCAAAGGAGATACTTTATCAGTAATTATACGGTACTTAAATACTTATCAAAGGTTCGGATGCTAATAAGGGACCTATATTGATTTGTAATCTTGCTCACCTAGAGTAACAGAACTTGATATTCTGGCCTGATGACGGCTTGGTTACCCAAATGGGTAAACAGGACAAACAGGTTGAGGTAAAATTTTGACAATTTTACATTTTCCTGTCTAGAAGACTAGAACCGTTGTGAACAAGAAAGGGAGAATTACAATAGAACCTTTATTTTCTCAAAGTACCAAGTAATGCCTTCATTGAAATATATAATTTTCAACAGGAGTGGTCATACTTTTTTTATTCTTGTTCATACATTTGGATTGATAGAAAATAAGAGAAAAACAGAAAAACAGAAAGATGATGATAAATTGTTAATCATACACGAAACCCTGAAATTTATATAATTTAAATCCACCGGCACAATCAGAAGGTTGCATTTCCAAAAAAAGAGAGATAACCAAAAAAATAAGAACAAGCCAAAATGAAAAACATAAGGAGCAAATCTCGCATATTTCTTTATCGCAGTTTGTAGAGACAGTTCATGGATAAAAAATACCGCAGGTTTTATTGGATATACTCACCTTTACCGCTGGTTAAGCGTTCACCGGTCGGAATGCTAGACGAAACCATCGAAAAAAAAAAAACAAAACAAATAAGGAGCAAATCGAAACCCTAGAAACATGGAAGAAAACGTGAGGTAAAAATGGATATTTGAGTTGAATAGCATACCTGCGAGCCGGCGCTGGAGATCCTTTCCCCTTTCGGTTGAGGAGTTCGAATGGCCTAATCTTCGACTTAAACGAGGGGCATAACGAGTCATTTAAAAGATATATGAGGATGTTTTTGTCTTTCACCCAGGTATGAAACGCGTATTCCCGCGTTAAGTGCCTGGTCCGGCTCTTACCAATTCTGATCAGAATTTGGGTTTCAGATCTGCTAATTAGACTTCACATCTGCTCCCCACAAACGCGCTCCAAAAACGCTCCATGCACGCGTGCATTGAAATCATTTCCCGTATTTGTCAAGTTGTTACTGGGAGATGTTCCCAAAACACGGTTGATATGGGCTGTGGGACGTTTTTGGGGAGATCAAATCATCCCCCACGACGCCCCACAGCACATTCCCCACCGTGTATTGGGAATGTCTCCCGTAGACCTGTTCATGGGTCGGGCCGGGCTGGGCTCAAGCCGGGCTTTATTCATCATTAATGGAAATACGCTAGGCCCGAGCCTGAGCCCGGCCCGACCAATGGGCCTATAACTTGGGCCCGAGCCCAGCCCTGATAAAAAGCCTAAAGCCCGAGCCCGAGCCCGAAGCCCGACCTAATAAAAAAATTATAATTTTCCCTATTTAAATTAGAATTAAAAATTCAGATTGTTTTTTTTCCTATTTAAATGAATAATGGGCCTACAAGATGTTTTTTTCCCTTTCTTTTACGTTTTAAAACACAATTTTACATTCTTAAATCAAAAAATTTATTCAAATGGACATAATCACATAACCCATTTTAAGTCTAATTTTAGGTCGGGGCGGGCTATTTTGACAAAACCTGAGCCCGACTCAAATTTATTGCAGGCCGGGCTTTTTGGCCCGAATTTAAGCCCGCGGGCCTATAAACATGTTCAAGCCCATCTGGGGGCCGAGCCGGGTGGGCCGGCCCATTAACAGGTCTAGTCTCCCGATAATGAGATCACCTTTTTTGGTATTATCATTAGAATATGTTCTCAATACACAACATAAATGTGTTGTGGGGGGCTGATTTGAACTCGTTTTTGGGATGCTTTCTATGGAAGGTGGATGTGAATTCTGCTAATTAAACCCAAACCAAATGTAAGTAGCATCTAAAAAGCAATATGTTCAAACTTCATATATAACCAATTTTGTGAGAAAGGAATCCATTATTTCAGTCTCATATTCAATTATGGGGTGTCAAATCAGGTTGGAATGTATTTTGTGGGAAATAGATACCAACTATCGAGTTCGGATCTGCTTCACACAATAAGTTCCAACACTCTTCCAAATGATATGATGGCACACATTTCACCGTGAGACTAATGTGCATTATTAGATCATGTTGAAAGAGTATTGTTAGAACTTATTTTGTTGAGAACAGATCCATCTTGAAACACTACCTGAAGCTTCAAATGATTTTGTATTTAAAAGAAATGGGGACTAAACTTCATATCCAATTAAGTAAAAATGTTTTGATAGACTATAATAGTCTATAAGATTCAAAATATCGATTCAGTCTCATACATCGGATGGGGTGTATTGGCCTGTATCAAAGCTTGCCTTCTTTTTTTTTTTAAGTTCTTTTTTCTCTCAAACTGATTAGGAGGTCGATTTAAGGTCCATTTAACCACTTATAGGGGCGTATCAAAGGGCCCCAGTGGCTCCTTTGTCGAGATACTTCAAATGTACCATTGCAATGGGTAGGAAATGCCCCAAATTCAATCTAATAAATTTCTTTCCTTACCCAAAAAAAGAAGAAAGGAATTAGTTTTGGTTATTATATTCCTTGTCAAAATCAACCAAGAATAATAGAGGCCCTTAATTTAATTCCAAACTACAGATTATTGAGACGTTCAAATCAATCAATATAGTACCACAAATCGAGTTCAAATTTGTGCCCCACACAACGAGAGGCCACCACATGTCTAGTCGCACACGGTCAGCATTCCCGCGTATGAAGCTAATGGGACGGCCATTAGCCCTAAAACGAGCCTAAAAAACTCATTTCAACATTCTTGCCCCCTCAACCTTAACGCGTGCCTGAACCGAGTTCCCTGACCCCCATTCTACTCCCCTCCACCCAAGCTCAAATCCAACTCCCTCTCCGGCACTGACGATCGCTTCGGCCAGTTCACCATCAACAGGTACTCTCCAACTCTCATATTTTGTTTTTTTTTTCATTTCAAATCAGAGAAACTCTGTTCTGATGTTTTGTTTTTCATTTCAAATCAGAGAAACCACCGGCAACAGTAAATAGGTGGTTCTTTTCTCCCCTCTTCCATCTATTCATTTTTTCCCATTTGCATTGTCCCCAAACTGTTACACTAGGTATATGTTGTCGAACATAGAGCGGAACTCGACTGTACCTGAAGTTGCCTTTTGATTTTGAAGGTTTTTTATTTTATAGTTAAAGATCTTTCTCAAGTTCTATGTTTGATTAGTGCAAGGATTGAGATGGAGAGGAAGAGTGAGACAATGGTGACGAGTGTTAGCACCGATTGAAAGAGAGAGGAAGCGATGGGTCTAGTAGATCTTGAGGAGGTTGTCTGATTTTATGAGTTTGATGGTCTCATATATATAGAGCATTTTTACTTCTTCAACCCAATAGTATAGTACCATATTTCATATAGATTTCTATACTGTAAATTATTTAATAAACCACTTGTATGCAAATGAGTATTTGAATGCTTCTATAGGGACCATATCTTTTGCTATTTGACATGTTGGTTATATTTATAGAATATGATTAATAGTGCTTTCATGTTACATTGCTCATTAGGAAACAATCCATGTTTGAGTCTACAGCAAGAAGAGATGTTTTTTCCACCTTTTTCCTGTACAATTATGCATGAATAAAATTGCTTTCTTTTGCTTTTGAAAAAATAATGCACATATTTTTTGTTGATTTATGTGCTATCTGAATTGCATATTAGGTTTTTTTTTTTGTGTTGTTGTTGTATTATTTAATTCCATATTGGGTTAATTTCTTAGTTCCACGTAAGAATAATTTATTTTGGCATGTGCAACAGGAAATGGAGGGCACACCAAACTCTGTGTGAAGGTTGGTGTTTTAACTTGATGGAGATGAGGGTGAACCATCCAAACCTTCATCTAGCATGGGTAAAATGGAGGGTACCAACATTGTCGATGCTTTTGATGAGGTAGAAGCTTTGCCTAACATAAGTTAAGAACTTGATAAGCCCACTAATGATTTGCCTACATGTGAGGAAACTAAAGGCATTGATGCAAGTATTGAAAATATGTTGAAAGAAAAGTTAAGTGTTATTCCTAAAGAGTGTACTCCAAAGGTTGGCATTATATTTGAAACAATAAAGGAAGCATGTAAGTTATATAAGAGATATGTCGGGAATGTGGGGTTTAGTACTCGAAAAAAATAGAGTTGTTGACAAACGGACTAACCACGTAAGATACTACAAGTTTTGTTGCTCTAGAGAAGGCAAACATAGTGCAGATAAATGTAGGGTCAATGTAAAGACTAGTACACCAATGACAAGATGTGGTTGTATGGCAACTATGAAGATAAGTCATGTGAAAGATGGTTATCGTGTCATTGGTTTTGATGAGATGCATAATCATATGGTCACGACCCCTTTTAAGCCACATCATTGAGGTCACAGAGAAAAATCAATGAGGCACAAGGTAATCAAACTATAATGGAAGATGATGTAGTAATTGCTCTAAAAGCAGTAATGGAGTTGATGGCAAACGAGGCCGGTGGGCATGAAATTATTGGGTTTACTTCAGTGGATTTGATGAATTACTTGCATACATACCGGACTAGAAATATGGAGAAGGGGGAGGCAGGTGGTGTTCTAAAATATTTTGAAGATATGCAACCACAAGATCCATCGTTTGTTTATGCAATTCAACTTGACCAAGCTAAATTAGTTACAAATATGTTTTGGGCTGATGCTCAAATGATTGTAGACTATGCTTATTTTGGTGTTGTGATATGTTTTGACACAACATATAGAACAAACAAAGAGAATAGACCATTTGCAGTATTTGTTGGGGTGAATAATTATAGGCAAACAATAATTTTTGTGCTACATTGTTGTACAATGAAATTGCATATACTTTTGAGTAGTTGTTTAATGTATTTGTCAAAACCATGGGAGGAAAAAATCTAAAACAATTATAACCGATGATGATGCAGTTATGGCAAAAGCAATTGGTTTAGTGCTATCAGAATCACATCATCGGTTATGTGTATGGCATATGTTCCAAAATGTTGCAAAACACTTTAGCGGTGTGTTTGAAAATTTTAAATCATTTTCCAAAGATTTTAATAGTTATGTGTATGATTGTAAATATGTTGATGACTTTAAAGATGCATGGGTGGTCATGATCAATAAGTATGGACTTCAGAAAAATGAATGGTTGCAAAGATTATATAGTAAAAGGCACAAATGAGCATTAGCTTTTGGACGATAACCATTTTCTGTCGGGATGAGCACAACACAAAGAGCTGAGAGTTTGAATGCTTCCCTCAAGAAATATCTCAATATTAGGTATGATTTGTCAAGGTTTCTTCGACACTTTGAGAGATTAGTTGTTGATAGGCGGTATGAAGAGTTAAAAGCCAAATTTGCAACAACACAAAGCACCCCAATCATGACAACATATGTGGGAATAATGGATTTTTGCTTCTCATGTGTATACACCACCTATCTTTTCCATATTTCATAACTAAGTAAGCAATAATTGACTTGCACCATTGAAAAAGATCGTGTAGTGTGACATTTGATTCAGGTGTATGGGTGAATCATCGGTTCATTGTGACATTTGATTCAAGAAATAAAACAATTAGTTGTATTAAAATAAAACAATTCAGGTATATGCAAGAACTTTGAATTTGTTGGGATCTTATGCAGACATGTATTGAAGATACTTAATTATAGGCGAGAGCCCTTACCATCATCCTATGTATTGAATCAGTGGACCATTGGTGCAAAAAAATGCAAGGGTGTAGCATCTCATGGCTTTAAGGCTGCACCTAGTGATGATGCTTACAACATTGTTATGCAAGTAAGAGAGAAG